GAAAGAGTAAGCCCCTTTCTTAACGCATTTCACTTGCAATCTTGATCACTTCTTGCAGCCGTAAGTTCCATGTGTCCACAGCAAGGAGTGAACACTCTCCTTTGCCCAAGGCTACTTGTGATACCATTTAGTAATGACATGAGATGTGAAAAATTCTACTGGTGCTCCCCAAACTAATTAAGATTTAATAAAACTCAAAACCCAACTGGATGACCTGAGCTTTAGCTTCCCAGCAGAGGAAGAACCTGAAAGTTGCAGAGCACAGGCATGGCAGCAAATTGCCAAAGGGTTACAAACCCATGTTTCCCTCTTAGGTTTCAAAACGCCCTCCCACCAGATCACAACTTACCATTTGGAACTGCAGTGAACAAACTATTTTTTGGTACATGCTCAAAACTTGATAGAACGTGACAGCCACATAAATTGTGAGCTATCATTATTCTTCTGTCTTTGCTATGAAATAATGAAAACACCATTAAATTTTAGGGAGAGAGAAACTCAAAACAAAGATAAATTCTGCAGCTCACCTGGCAGAGAGACCTACCCGTCTCATCTGCTCTATTTCTGCATTATAATTCGAAGAACAAAAGTGGACTATTTTGATGTCCCCCTCCAGTGCTCGGCTCCTGGTGGAAATATATGATGAAAGCAACAGTTTAATAAGGTGTTTCAGGTTTCAGGCCTAGGAGAAATTAGAACTGGAAGAAATCAGAGAGATCAGTTAAAAGAAGCTGGTATCAGTGGTGATGTGGACAGTGGGGAGAGAAAGAAGGGTTCAGATATGAAACATTTTGTAGAAAGAATTGGGAAAACTTAGTTACTAACTGAATATGGCTGATGAGAGTCAGTTATGAGTACAATGCAAAGCCACGATCAATGAGAAGAATGGAGGGTCTTATTAACACAGTCTAAGGAATCAGGAAAGCAACCAGTGTACTGAGGATGGAGCTGTTGATGGTGAGCCTGGATCTGGACATCGAGAGCCGGATGTGACTGTAGGATTTGCAAGAAAAACCACTCAACAGGCAGTAAGAAATGCAGACATGAAGTCTGGAGGGTGATGACAGCTGAAGATGTAAGCTATGCTTTGGAAGCGGTAACAGAAGCCTTGGGAGTAGGGGCAATCTGTGCAAGAAGGCTGAAAGAGAAAAGCAGAAAGCAGGAGCAGAAAGCCTGGGGGATGCCCATTGGTGATGAAGCAGCAGCAGGGAGAGGAGCCAGAAAAGGCAAACGAGGATGCTCTGCTTGCTCAGTATCATTCTGAAAGAGTAACTATGAGCTGGTTTTCCCCGGAAGAAGCCAACACAAGCGCAGCCCCTGAATACAGAAGGAGGAGCCATTCATCCCCCCTCTTCTTCCTGTCTTCCTTTTCTACCTGGAGATGAGGAGATGAGGGTAGATGAGACCCGACCCCTGTCCTTGAACAGCTCGCAGCCTAGTGGAAGCAGGGTTTTCTCTGCATTCCTCCCTTAGATGTTACGCTTTTCCCAGAAGCTGGCAGAGCAGCTCTCAAGAGAAGAGGCAGCCTGTGTCTATTTGATTAGCAAATGAGTATTAATTGGATCCTTATTTTGCGCCAAGCACTATGAAGGCATCAGAAAAATTGGAAAGCAAGACTTCTGCTATCAAGGAGATTGCAAGCTTTGGAGATCAGCAAGACCAACTTAAGTCAAATGATTAGAGACCACATAGACACTGAACTGGGTGGTATCGACCAGAAGAGCAATAGGGGCTTTAAAGATGTGATGTCATAGCGAAGAGTCTTGGGGGAAGGGAGAATTTGGATAGAGGAAGAATAAGGAAGGGCATAGCCATAGGAGAGAGAGCATGAGCAAGGGGGCAGGGGCAATCATGGTGGAGGGAAAAAGCAAGGAAGGTCTGACTTTGGCTCAGTGGCAGGTTTTGGAGAACAGTGAGGGGTAAGAGCCTCCAGAAATGTTGCATTTGGAAGTGGGTGAGCTGAGTGATGCCCTCAGTGGGAGTATGATGCCAATAGGCAGAGGGAAGTTCGTTCTTCTCCAGCATGGCCAAAAGTGAAGAAACCAGAGCTAAGGGGCTGTGGCTATTACCCAGCTCTGGGTCGCAGTGCTCCCGGCTTCCTACCCACTCCACTTCCTGGTATCTGTCCCGATCTGTGTCAGGGAGGCTCTTTCAGTACAGCATGTTCTGATCACTCAGGGATGTAGAGCATCCCCCACCCCCTCACATATGTACTGAGCTGGCGTGAACACCAGCTCATTGGCTGGGCTCCCCTGGCTCCATCCCCAGTGTTGAGGGTACCAGTGAAGGCAGGAAGGGATACAGAAGCCAGGAGTTCCCTGTATTGAGGTTGCCCTTGGACCAAGCCTAGGAGTCCTCTTTGTCCCACGGTTCACAGCACCCTCTTTGCCAAGAGGCATAGGGAGACACAGACCACTGATATGTTTGTCCAAAGTTAGAGCCTGACCTTTCTTGGATGTCCCAAACCAAGAGGATGGAGGGATGATGCAAGAGCCACCCAGCTGCCTCATTTCTGGGAATGGTACCACTGTTTCCCCAGCAATACCTGTTAACTTCTTGCCGTGCTTCAAGTCAGTCAAGCACCAAGGCATGCTTGTCTTTCTGCCTCGGATCTCTATTCCTTTTTGTACCCCATCTTCATGGCCACTCAGCACCCACACCTGCATCTCCTCTTCCCCCGACTCCTGTGTTATTCCTAATCTGGCCCCCAGAGCCCAGCCCAACTCATTCACCTCATTAGTCATTCACCTCACTTCTCTTTGTTCTTTCCTTCCATGTCTTCCCCACTTATTTTCTCCAGGTCTGGCACTGAACAACTCTCCCTTCTCTCTTAGACTTTGTAATCTCAAGGGATGGAGGGAGAAAAACAGAATGATGCACTAGGCATTTTGCCCACGTTCTTTCCTCCAGCAGCTCAGAGATGGCTAAGCGGGCTTCAGAGGAAGGAGCAGGAACAAGAGGAAGTGGTTTTGTAGCTCACAGTGGCCTGTCAGTTGCAGAGCTTGAAGAAGCCAAAGGTGGAAGGGGTGGCGTGAGAGGTGAAATAACCTCGCACACAGTGTGGGTTGTAGTCTCGGTGGAGCTGGGTCCTGGACCCAGTCCTATGCAGACAAGATGGGTCACTCTACCTCCTTCAAACTCAGATATTTTCTGAGCCTGAGAGCTAGTATGCCTAATGCTATTGGGGAAAGGATAGAACCTTCACACCAAAATAGATGATTTTATGACACCCCCCACTCAGCTCCATCAGGCTTACATTTTCATCAGACAGCCCAGTGATATACCGGCAGAAAGAGTTTGCCATTCAAGGAAGGGTAACCTGCCATCATGGCCAGTGCAGCCAAAAGCACCTGCCCCCCAGCCTGTTGGCAACTGAAGCTGAGCACTGAGGGAGGCTGAGTCACCAGCATCACCTGTGTCCTAGCACATGGGGCCAGGAAAGCAGGACGGAGATGAGAGATGGAACCTGAATGCTTCCTTCCTGCCTGCCCCCCAGCCTTTGTCCCCACTAACGCCATGACCCCTCCCTTCTTTTGCAGAGAAGCCTCGGATGAACAACATCCTGACATCGGCCACCGAGCCCTATGACCTCTCCTTCTCCCGCTCCTTCCAGAACTTGGCCCACCTGCCCCCATCCTACGAGTCCGCAGTGAAGACCCATCCCAGCAAGTACTCATCCCTGAAGAGGCTAAGTAAGTGGGGGTTTCCTGGGGCTGGGGTCTGCCTCTGGGGCCCCCACAACATCTTCCTGTGTCTCACTCTCTTGCTGTGCACCTGAGGGCATGGGAGTGGGGTGTCCCAAGAACAAAGAGCAAGGTGTAGCACGGTAGAAGAGAACAGACAAGGCCCTTGTTTTTGTTCTTTAGAGCGTGAGTCCATCTTCTCCCTCAGTAGAATGGAGGCCATGGGATCCTCAGAGCCACATTCCCATGGGAAGCAGTGCTTCAACTCATGTACCAGGTTAACTACAAGAGAAAGCCTTTCCCCTGCCTCACCCCACACCGGCCTTCTTCAAACCCTGGGCCTTCCTTGCTCTCTGTCTGTCTTGGAGTAAAGGCTCTCAATGCCAGAGCTTTCTCTGAGACTCTTCCCAGATACCGGCTGTGGAAGGGCCCATAAACCAGCTCCCTCCCTAACCCCGTTAACACTGTCTTGGGAACCTGAGACTCCCCACTCCACACACAGACCCCATTTCATGAGTTGAGCCCAGTACATCCCATGGTCCCAGCTCTGCCATTTGAGTCTGTGGAGCTCTAGGGATTGATGGGTTTCAGATGTTACAATGTCAAGAAGGTACATGGCAGGAGAGGTCTTCTCTTCCAGTTTTCCAACCCCTGGACCTTCTGCCTCCATTTCCCAATGAGTCTATTTCGATGACCACCCAGCTACAGGGCCGAGCCTGTGCTTGACAGTACAGGGTAACCTATTGTGATAGAAGTTCAGCCCATGAGTCCATATCAGCCAACGCCAAGGTGGAACAGTGAGTTTCTATGGCGAAAAATGGGAATCCCACATTCTGCAGAGATCTGGAAGGCTGTCTGTAGGAAGCCTCATTCCTGAACTGTGGGGCAAAGAAGGCTTGTGCATGTCCTGGGTGGGTTCAAGGGTGAGCCTGGGGGGCCTCGTGGACGGAGAGATGGGCGAAGCATCTGAACGAGGTGCACACATGGGATTGTGCGGGCCTGCTCGTGCTGTGGGCACAGGCGAAACACGCGTAGGCTTGATTCTGTGCTTGTGTGGAGGCTGGATGCCCATGTGTTGGCTTCCTAGGCATAGGCTGTTACTCCAGAGAAGGTGTTACTATGTTTCTAAGTTACCAGTAAGCATTTTCACAAGCACCTCCTGGATGGAGCATTCTGCTTTATTCTAGCAGGACTCTGGTTCTGCAGCCCAACTTCCTTGGAGAGAGCTTCTGAGCCTCATCAGAAAGCTGCCGGCTGCTCCTTGGGTGTTTCAGCAAGACCCAGGGAGCTGTTCTGTTTCGGGACCATGGCGTGGCAGGAGCAGTACTGGAGCAGGAGTTCAGGGTCATGGGCTTGCCATCTATTCGGCCATGAACTCCCTGGAGACCTCGAGGGAGTCCATTAACCCCGGATACTCAAGGTGGTCCAGGGACGAGGGGCATCAGAATTGCCCGGGAGCTCCTTAGAGATGCGGACTCTCAGACCCACCCCAGAGCTAGGTCAGAATCAGACTCTGCATTTAATAAGACCCCTGGGGTCTGGAGAAGCACAGCCTCTACCTGTGTGGGCTGCAGGATCCTAGTTGGATCCTGGCTGCACTGTCACAGTGTTGCCCCAGCTCACTCCTCTCTCTCTCTTTCTTTCTCGAACTGTCTCTCTCCCCTACAGCTGACAAGGAGGCAGACGAGTATTACATGAGAAGGCGGCACCTGCCCGACCTGGCCGCCCGTGGCACCCTCCCCCTTAACGTCATCCAGATGTCCCAACAGAAGCCACTGCCGCGAGAGCGACCCCGCCGGCCCCTCCGGGCCATGTCTCAGGACAGGGTCCTGTCCCTGGAGCGGGGCCTGCCGGATGAGTTCGGCATGCCCTACGACCGCATCCTGTCGGACGAGCAGCTGCTCTCCACAGAGCGCCTGCACTCCCAGGACCCGCTGCTGTCCCCGGAGCGGACAGCCTTCCCCGAGCAGTCCCTGTCACGGGCCATCTCGCACACGGATGTCTTTGTGTCCACGCCCGTACTGGACCGCTACCGCATGACCAAGATGCACTCCCATCCCAGTGCGTCCAGTAACTCCTGCGCCACCCTGGGCCACAGCCAGACGGCAGCCAAGCGCCAGGCCTTTGCCTCACGCAGACACAACACCGTGGAACAGCTGCACTACATCCCAGGCCACCACACCTGCTACACAGCCAGCAAGACAGAAGTGACCGTGTGACCGGCAGGGCAGGCAGGCCAGCGGTAGAGAGGGGCCTAGAGCAGAGCTTCCAGCTCTGGATGGCTCCCTTCCCTCTACCCCTCTGTAGGAGCTGGGGGTGCACCGCCTTTGCCCAGAAAGCCATACTCCTGGGACACGGCTGGTGGTCTGGCACAGCACGCTGGGATCTGGGATCTAGAGCGATCACCCTCACTCTTCCAGAAGAATCGAAGGGGAGGGAGGAGCGGGGCTAGGCCCCAGTCTCGCCCCCCCCACCCTGCCGACTGTCACCAACTCCCTTTCAGTCCCACATCCCCTCTCCCCGTCCTGGGGGCTCAGAGACCCTGGCCTGACCCTGGCCCGAAGCTGCCTGGGTTTGAATTGGCCAGTGGGTGCAGTCAAGGGGCTCACCCTGACCGAATAGGCTACTCGGTCTCATTCATTTACTTAAAACCGCATCACAGAAATCTAGTGCCTAAAAACTGCCCGCTCGCTCTCTCAGAGCCAGGGAGCTGCTGTGTCCATAAGCACAATGATTCTCTTCTGCCTGCTGGAACTCTCTGGTCCCCACCGAGTGGCCCTTCCTCCGCCGACCCCCTGGGGCCCTGTGCCCCCCCACCCACCCCTCCAAGCCCCGGGACAGGGAGGGGTTCCCTTCCTTCAGCTGCCTCTCCACGGGTGGGAACCCCGCCCCATTCCAGCTGGCTGCCCCGCCCACAAGTCTCTGCCCCTCCCCCAGCCTTAGATTCCACCCCTGGGTTCACTGGGGCTTTGCTCTAGTCCTTCCAGAAGAGAGCAGGGACGGGGTGCAGGGACTTTTGCGGTGCCCCCCCCCCCCCGC